GAAACAAAGTCCTTCAAAGCAAAGAAGTTTAGCCACTCAAAACTCTTAAGTAACAAAGTAGTCTTACTACATCGTATATTTAATGCCAAACTTAAAAAAGCAGTTTCAAAAGATCTCTCTTTTTTTAAAAAGGGCATAAAAGGAAGAGAAAAATTATATATGCTAGGTCTTAAGGAAAAGCTTGTCAAGATAACCATTCCCTTTTACCTATTTTCTTTAAACCAGCAGAAAAACACTCTGATTGAAGTGTTTTACCTTCGTTCTTTACACGTTTAAGCATTGGGTGCTTTTTGTGAAATGTGCCCACAGGTAAATAACTATTTGCAGGACTATAGCTATAGTAGAATTAGATGTCATGTCTAAAAGACTGCATACTTTTTGTTCTTACATAGCAGCACAGTTAGGCTCTATGCTATCTACTAAAGACACATTATGGGTATGAAAGCACAGACAAAGCACAGGATCTTGTACAGTCCCCTCAACTTTAACAAAAAAATTCAAAACCACCCTGTGATTTTTTTCATCTGCTAATGCAGAAAAAGTTCCAACAAGCCAAAGAAAGTGGTAGCAAAACCCAGCAACTCCCAGAATTTCATCAAGTGCATATAGGTGTCAGAAAGATCACTCATGTACCATCCAGCATTTGTTTACCGTATACTTTCCCTTTCGGCAACAATCTTATCCCGCTCTTGAAAGGCCCAATCTCTCCTACACTTGGCTACTTCTGCTTCCTGGACAGCTTCCTTTAGTTCTTGTGACATTGCCTCATATTGTTTCCGAAGCATTTCAATTTCTTTGTTTGCTCTTTCTATGTCTAGGGTAGCAGAATCTTGTATCTAGGAATTAAGAAACATAGATAAGTATTTTAGGCACAATTTTTAAGTAAGTACACACAAAAAGTTTTCACTATATGTATGTATTAAATTCTTATGTTTCCATGAAACATGTTCACTTATCTTAATGGCAAAAAAATGTAATCAATTCAGTGGCACACAAATTTGTTCAAACACAATCTACATGACTTAAAGTCCTCACTTCAAAATAACATCAGTGAACATTTTGTATTACAGAAATTATATTCCTTGCTTCTATCTTGTCCTGCTCAGCAGACAGAAAAAAATCCTTCAAGGATATTCAGAAATCAGATACACTATTATAAGCAGTTAGAACACAGATTTCTTAAACTAGATGTACACATTCACAACACAGATTCATGCACACAGGTCTCTAAACTTTGTCCATAAAACAGAGAAATTAAATTTTACAGAATTATTTTTTTTTTTACTTCTTCTTGGTTTAGACAAGAACTACTTTCTTCTTAAATTAACTTGTTCCTCTAACATTCTCTGCTTTGAACAAGAGAGATGGTGAAGTAGTAAGACAAACACACAGAGGATACAACAAGCCTGCAGCACAATAAACAAAGCAACTACAATGGTACAGCCCAGCACAAACTCTGAAGGCCATGGGCTTGCAAACAGGTATGTGTGGTTAATTCCAAGACTATAAATACATCTAATCAATCTGACTATCCTTGTCATTTGATTAAACTTTGGAGGAATGTTTTTAAGACCTGAATGCATGTATACAAAAGAGAGACTACTAAGTCATAATTAATACATTTTAAAGGCTCTTTTCATTCTCTAAATGAGTTATAATCATATTCAAAAATAAAAAAGCACTGAACCTTAAACGTTAGGTTTATCTTCTCATCCCAACATTCAAAAATAAAAATTGCCACAAATAACACCAAAAAGAGGCTATGAAGAGTCATGTCTGGATTTTTGACACTGTTTCATTTCTAAGGATCACCTTCTTCTCTTCCAGTCCACTGGCAGGAAGAAGATATTTAAAACCCTACTCAGATCAACCAGCTGATGTTTATATTTGAAATGTCAATTCCAATTTGGAATCTAACAAAGGTGAGTGTCTGAACAGGTCCATTGTTAAGTCACAGCAAAGTTCACACAAGCTTACTCAGCTAACCTTGAGAAAAGCAAGTTTACAAAATCCCACTGGTTTGGCCATAAAGAACCAAACACAAAGAAAAATTTATTTCCCATACTACTGAAAACATAGTATAATTGCTCCCCCACACACTCATCTGGGATTGGCACATCCATACGACAGCCAAGACTAAACACTTTTTTCCTACTGGTAAAGAGTTGATACTCAATAAAAAATATCAATTTAGTGAAAACTACCAAAAATATCTAGTTTCATATTACATTATTTTGTATTCCTTAGATATTTCAGGATCATAACAGTTGTGATTGTATTCATTGTCTTACTACATTATATGTAAGCATTTACAGTTTTATGTGGATTGATGTTCATACAAGATAAGCATCAGTGTGCAGAACTGTAAGAACATGACTAGCCAGAGAAACAAACTGTTCAACTAGCATACTTATCTAAGAACATATACCAATTAGAAAATTTACAATTATACTTCAATTAACTTCCATAAAGAAGTATAAGAAATAGCTAACATCCTGAGCAAGTCACAGGCACGAAAAACACACGTACACCTTGCAATGTCTACCAGCAGGTAATTAATTTCTTAGCCACCTGCTGGATCACAATATTTTATTTGCCATTTACTTTTACAAACAGAATGTAATATGAAGCATGAGTGCATTTCTTTCAAACAAGTATTTCTCGAAGAACGTATATGCATTTATATTTAGGTATTTCATAGTGACCCAGAGAAGACGCCCAGTGTGCACAGACCTTAAACTAATCTCTTGAAACTTACTAACCCTTTGAAGCTAAAAAATAAAATAAGTCATCTGTCAAGACTTGCAATACCTGACGAGCTTGATAATATTCTCTTAGTAAATGGTCTCTCTGGATGATAGCTTCTGTTCTCTCTTTCCTGGCAACATCTCTTTCTTCCTTCACTGTCTCTATATCTTTGCAAGCTTGGTCAAGTTCCTTCTGGGCCTCAGCTTTGTCCTTCACTTCATGACAGTATTTTTCCAGCAACTCATTCCTCTCACAAATTGCTCGATCTCTTTCCACGAGAGCCGAGTTTAGCTCCTAAAACAAGATCCATTGTTTGTTGTAGGTTAAGTACAGAAGGTAATAGTTCATCTTTCCAACTGGATACACATTTGACACCTTAAAAGCCTAGAGAATTTACCACTAATGTTCTGAAAAATGGGAGCAGAACAGACTGTGCTCAGATTACATACAAGTAAGAACTAGCAAAGAATATTAAACATAGTACTACAGATATCACACCATCATATTAGCACAGTGCTATGTCAAAAGTAAGCAAGAATCAGGAAAACACTCAAAGTTTTGAGGTACCAAAAGAATTTAAGGTTATTAACAAGACATCATGTTTTTTTAAAAAGGCTTCAAATATGGCAAAGGGTAAGAATACATTACAAGTATTTTTAAGCAAATGCCTTAATTTTATAGAACTGAAATAATTTAGACAGCCCTGCTACATAAGTATTATATAGTTTCCTCATAAGATTTAAAGGAACATTAAAGTCATATGCCAGTAAGATACTAATGTACAAAACTACAGAATGTTCAAAGACAAAACTACAGCATGCTGTAAAGCAGAATGACAGTTACATTTTATTAAATGTGGCATTCAACTGCAACATAATAAAATGATAGTAAAATGTAGCTCTAAAATAGTCTTTAATTTTAAAAGTTTAAGGCATTCAAGCAATTGAAATTCATGCCACTGATTTTTTACATGCTCCAGCTCTCTAAAAGCATTCAGCCAGTGGCTACAAAGAAGGCCTTCTACATACAGGCACTCCTTGCTGAAAACCATTGATATTTTGATCTCAAAAAGATTACCAGACAGCTGAAATCTGAAAAGCAAAAGAAGGAAAGCATTCAAGTACTTAAGGATAGAAAAATACTGCATCATAAGCCAACTTCTATTCTGTTTTCCTCTACAGGTTGCAAGGAATAAGATCATGTGCATAAAGCATGTATGACAATTGCATTTTGCTGTACTAACAACTGTTTTTGACACATGGCATCTAACTAAAGCTAGACAGGCTGTTAAAACAGTTCCACACTGGTATTAAAACAGGGATTTTTGCTGTAGAGTAACAGATGAGCACTAGAATGACTCATTCAGTGAATTTTAAACATCAGTGAATCACAATTACCAGAGCACTGAAGTTTCTTCAACATCAGTAAGAGCTCAGTACCTCTGAAAAGAGAAATCCCAGACCAGTCTGGTGGTGCAAACCGTTTTGGTACTGCAAGCAATGATTTGTACAACTTAACTATAGTCGGTATAAAATATTCGTTCAAATATAAAAAACTTACACCAAAGTAATAAGCCTTTTGCAGCATAGAGTAGAGGTGAAATCCATTAAGTATCAAGGTAGAGGGAAAGGTCCCAGAAAACCCTTTGTTAAAAAGGAATTTACAGTACTTTAAGGTGACTGGAAAAAACACACACTGTCAGAGTTTATTCCAGCATGCTCCATATAAACTGTCTTAGTAAGAGTAGCTATTGTGTCCAGTGGTCAGTAGCAAAATTTCACCTCTGTCTTCTTCCTGTGACATTTGCACGAAATTACAACATGACAGCACTGGACAATGTGCCACTTGACACTGATTAGAAGAGCTTCTGTTTGGAAACATCAGCATGATTTGGTTCAAAAATTATTCTGAATTTGTCAAGAACTCTTTAAGTTTGAAGGAAGTTCTTGCATCTGATAATGGCACAATAACTTCATACAGGATAAAATACAACAGTTCTATTTAACAGAGGGGAAAGCTGACTACCACTGAGATGAAATACAACATTCTAAGTATTTGCTGGAGCAGATAATTATGCCAAACAAAACCACCACTGGGCAAGTAGAGGGGGGAAATCTATAGCATCTAATCCCTGGCTTTGAGTAGCCAAATTTATGAGAACTTAATCCAAATCTGTGGTTGGTGCAAAAAACTGGGATTTCTTCCATCATCTAAAAATGCTAGACAATTATTACATTTTGGATGTAAATTAACCCATTATGTTTGTGCACCCCATAAAGCTTAAGTATTCAACTTAGGAAATTGACTGACTAACCTCATCAGTAACTACTCATAATATAATGCCTCTTCAACCTCAAACTTCTCCATTTCAGTTGCTTTTGAATTTGAGACACAAAAGGTACACTAGCAAACATAAGAGTCATAAAAGAAACTACACATGAAACTTCAATGGATTCAGTCCTGGTTCAATCAGCCAATGATACTGTCTAACAGGGCGCATGAAGCTGCTATACATCATAAGGAGAGCAAAGAACATTAGGTTATATTTTGGCAAGCACCAGACCAACTATTCACTGACAGGATAATCCCACTTACCTAGGGGCATTTTTCAAGATACTATTTAAAGGGAATGTATCCCTTGATCAGTAAATTTTCTCAACCTTTCAAACATTTGCTTTACCAGAACTAGAAAATCTCTTATGCACTGAATGTGACAAGCCAATGCTATGTGATGCAGAAACATACCTGCTCATGAACAGAAGAGTCATGTCTAAAGGAAAGGAAAACAAGAACAAAATTCACAGTGCTTCTATTTTAGATCTTTCAGTACATTATAGAAGCAGTTATTTATGCTTTCTGTTGGGCCAGTTAGAGGGGTAAAGAAAAATGCATGACTGTGCCCTGCCAGCATCTCACTCACCAGTTCTAGGCTCCTTCCTGTTCTTACTCAAACACTACTTCAAGTCATCTAGGTAGAAGGGAATGCCCATGTATTTAAAATTTTTATTTCCTGTCCATTAAAGCACTTTGGCACTCACAGTGCCACAATGACAGATAGAACAAATTGGATCAGAATAACTAATTGTGGCTACTTCCATCTATTCCTTACCAGCTACCCTGATTCCACCAAAATCAACAGACCCTCTCTATCAGCTTAATGGCTTGATGGAAGTAGAACAGGTATGAAACGTACTAAAAACTCACTCACTGCAGAAGCTAAATTACTAAGATGGCAATTGTGCAGGGTTGAAAACCACAAGTTAGTTATTTTTAAAAGCTCTGAAACCACATGTCACAATCCACATTATGTCTCTCAGCAATGTTGTGGTTTAAAAAAAGCTCCAAACCTTAACTTTTCATAAAGGGCATTTTGTTCAGATGTAATGCTGTGAAAAAAAATGAGATTTATAGGCAATGGAATATATTTGCTTGTATTTATGTCATGCTAAATTAAGTATTTGTAAACCAAACAGTCAAGTCAATGAGTGTCAGCTGAAATGAAACCAAGCACTAAATTGGAAATCTTAACAGCACCATTACAACATGGCTGTGATATAAGCATTTCAAGAACAAATTGCTGAAAAATACAATACACTTTGAGGCATGCCTGAGTTCTAGTGAAAAATCTTCTAAATATCCTCTTTAACTTAAAGGCAGAAGGAGAGCAAATGAGTAAGAACATGCATGTCAGCACAGGCTTTGCATAAATTATTGGAGACTATTTTATCATGTACCGTCTTAAGTCATAGTAGATAGTATCCACTGAGTGGTTCCTGCAGAGGTTAGAAGTTAAAAACAATGAATATTTAGAACTATATTATTACAGATGGCATTAAGACAAATGCAGTAGTCAAGGGAATAGCGAATTTCAATTGTCAGGTACTCTACATGCAATCTTAATAATTTGACAGTAAAAAGGACTGCTATGCGATTCTGTGTGATTCTGTGAAAACACCAGCACAGAATTTCTTTTTTGCAATGCATTCCTATTTTCCATTAATCACTCATACATTTCTGATTCTAGCATTGAACAATGAATATTCATTTCCCTTCCCCATCAAAATAACAGGTTAGTACCTGTCTTAAAGCTTCCATCTCTTCACTAGCCACTCGCTTCTCAGAAGAAGTGTTCTTTAGTTTGGACTCTGCAAGCTCCAGCTCTGTTTGAAGCTTATCCACCTCTTTAATTACTTGATCTCTCTCACTCATTATGAGGCGGTATTCATTGAAAACTGAATCCCTTTCTTCCTTGTATTTTTCTGCATCCTTTGCTGCTTTCAGCTGCATCGTTTTGAACCTTGTCACCTCCGACTGTAATCGCTCCATCTCTCTCTGCAACTCTTTGTTCTGTGCTGTGGCACTGCTTAGTTCCTGCTGTACTGATTCATATCTAAAACCAAGCAGAAATGTCAGTAAGATACCTATTCCTCATTTTCCTTTTCCATACATTAAGGATTTGGCTGCATAACCAAATGTAGGGATTAGCAAAACAAAACTGCAAAGGATATCTTAGACTGTACTTTCAGTGCTGCAAAATAAAAGTTAACCTAATTACTGCTTTAAGAATATTAGTGAACCTTTGGGAATATTAGAGAACCTCTTCAGGGATCCAAAATGAAACTTGTTAGAAGTAGTTTAGAATTAATTTAATTCTTAAAAGTTAATTTCTATCAAATTATTCTAAAAGCATTGTAAAACATTGCCATTATTTCATAGTACAAGTTTAACTTTATTTGCTGCATTGAGCTCTGCTCATCTTAGATGATAATTCATTCTCCCAATACACACTCCCAGGCATGTGGGAAGAAGGGAAACAAATGCAGAATTGGAAAAAAACAAAAATGCCCAGATATGGCAAGGTTGTTAATGAGCAATTTAGAGGATAAAAAAGTCGGCTTACAGTAAAAATGCAGGCAATGGAACTAAAGTCAAGTAATTCAAACATTACTGTTTGTTTTCAACAGTAGGTGATCCAGTAAAACTGAAATGCAAAGTATCTTAAATGGTCAAAAGTAGTTGTGTTTTTTTTTTTAACGTAAGACAGACAAAACCATATGCACTTCATCACTACAACTTATGCACGTATTGGACAATCAAAAAAAATACATGAAAATTTAGAAACAGTAACTTGTGCTTATATTGACAAAGCATTCTAAAAAGTGGAAATATAATTCCACAGAAAAGTTCACAGCTAGGTTTGAAAAGGAACTTCTCCTGAGAGCAGGGTTTTACCACTATTTCCTAGCATGTTTTTTCTAAAACTCTCAGGCCAATGCAATTGACAAAAACACTGCACCTAACCTGATGCACTTTCAGGTTTATCCAAATTTTAGGTGCCCACAAACCTCTGGCAGACTTTGTTCTCTCTCACACACACATCTCATACCACTTAAAAGTGCAATTTTTTGTCCAATCCAGCATATTGCTTGACCTTTCCCAAGAGAGCTGTAAACCCAATTTCAAGTAATTCCTTGAAAACCTCAGTGTATTCAAAGCATTGCCATAGTGTTACTGAGGCAACTGCCAATAATTTCAAAACCATCACCCTGCTCCTTTTGGGAAATTCTTCAGTTTTAGAGATCGTCAGGCTAGCAGTACAGAAGACCTAACATTACAATCTGGATTTCTTTTGTCTTTTCAGAACTTTGAGCATTAATATAGTATAGGAAAAGTACTAGGCTATATTAAAAATCTACAATGAAGACTACGAAAAACAACCTCACTGCCATGTGAGAAATTACAGTATATTTGAAAACTATTCGGAGGTCAAATCAAGGACAACATAGGGAAGATATAGGAGCAAGAAAAAGATTTAAGACAATATTTGCCAAACAAAACAAAACAAAGTCATGAGTAAGGCAGGAAAAAAACACAACAAACAACAAACCTCCCCAAAAAAACATACATCAAAAAAACACCAAAGAAAAAACGCCAAAACCCAACCAAACCATGATAAGCATACTAGCATGGGGAACTGATCACAAAGGAAAGTCTCTGCTGTAGGGGAGCATTCATACTAAATAGCAATAAAAACCTACATAAAAACCTGAAAGAAAAGTTCCAGCTGAAACACTACAGTCCTGCTTGACCTTGTATTGTTTCCTAAGGAGAAAATACAGGCAGCTGGATACGTTTTACAGATGTCCTCTGTAGACAATGCTAATTTCCTTAACTTCCAGGAATCCCTGGCAGTCTAAGCTACATAACATATTCTCTTATTAATCATACTCTCCTATAACTATGTACGTGCTATTCATATGTACGTTATTATCTGCACTCAATCTCACCTTTTGAAATATAAAAATCTATGAATGTGGAATCAACTTCTTTTGGCATTAGTCTGTGGGAGGTGTGTATAATCCCTAACTCTTATCAGTGAAAACATTCTAAACATGCCTATAGAAACTCTTTGGAGTCCTTATGTATATTAGCCTTATTCCTACCCCATAAGGGTATCTGTGCTGGCTTAGGAACAAGGAAGAGGAGAGAGACCTGAAGTGTGGTGTGACAGTGTCTGTGCCCTTCTGTTTTGGCACTTGAAGGAGCACATTCCCAGAGAAGTAAGACTCCCAGACATCTGCATCCAGTGAACTGTGCTGCCAGCCTGAAGCTCTGTTTGAGAATTCCACAGGGACCACAAAACTAAGGTAATTAAAAGGTAAGTTATGCTTGAGAACATCTGTATTTGCTAAACACTTCAGAAATTATATCCTCCTATTAATTTTTTTTTAATTTATTTAAATAAAACCACTTGAAACACTAAATCTGAGGTTTAACAAACCTTTGTTTGCATTTGACTCCCATGTCTACAACTAAGATTAAACATGGCTTGAAAGGCAGACTGATCCTTTTTCACATGAGCTAAATACAGTAAAAATTCCTCATACAATTCCAAAACACTAGGTGGGAAACCCTTTTCTCAAGAAAAAGCATGATTTCTCCAAACAAACATCCCCATTACATCTTCCAGGACTTTCCAGAAAATGTTATCATGAAGCGCATGATTAGTCCTCACACCACCATACACTACAGGGAAAAATTAGAAAAAAGTTCGGGAAGTATTTGATTCTACCACAGAGAAAATAAGATGTTACATTAGTATTGTTACTGCTTTCACAGTGTATTTGAAGATATCAAAACCAGTTTATACCTTCTAAGAGAGGTTGAATATTGCTGCTGAAAATGTATTGCTGTGTCCCTTTGCTTCATTAACATGTCAACCTGCTTCTGAAGGCGTCTGTTCTCCTCCTCAGCCTGTTCCAGGCGGCTCAGATCTGTATTGTGGCTTGCGATCTTCTCGTTGTACCGCTTCCTCAGGGCATCATAGTCCTTCTTCACACCCTCTAGCTTGTCCATTGCTGTATCATAAAGTTTATTTAATATCTCTGATGACCCATTTTGCTTCATAACCTAAAAGCATCACCAAAATTTTATTATGAAACTCAGTTTTTAATTAGTCCAATATATTTGATTTAAGATATATATTAGAAACAACATGAAAAATATATTAAACATTTTTAAGAATACTTCTTTTTAAACACTAAGGAAACACTGAGCCTCTTCTAAGCATTACTGTTATTATTCTATGCATTACTGTGTCTGTTTTATAACTGGGAAAAAAAAAAAATCTGCTTTATCACAACTTAAGAGTACACAAGCTTAGAAAAATCTCTCTAATGGTAACCACTACCAAAAGTTATTCAACTCAGGCTGTTTGCAAAGTACTTCGTAAATATAGCAAGATGCAGTCGTTATTTGATGATCAAGATTATAGTTGTAATAGCTATGTTAGCTGTTAATAGTTAATAGCTGTAATTTAAGAAATGACCACGAGGTGGCACTCATGGCAGGTTACTTGTATCCTCCGTGAACAAACTGAATAATTTAAAACTTCTTGAGAATAAAATCTACTCTAAATGTTATACACATAGGCATATATTTAACATTCATACAATGTTATCTGAGAACTACCCACAGAGGTTTTTGTTCCAAAAGCTATCCATTAAACATAAACAGGAAGAGAAAAATCAATTTAAACATTAATAAAGTCTGACCTGAATCTTAGTTTTAAATTAATTTCCATTGACATAAGAATCTTGTAGTAAATAGCAACAGTGATGATAAATGACCAGCAGCAACAGAAATCCCCTATGAGCTTCAGTAAATCTAGTCCTTCTTCCTTCTCAAAAGGCAAAAATGATGCCTGAAATGAGGCCTTTTTTTTTAAAAATACTATGCTCTTTTTTTTTTTCTTTCAAATTTAAATTTGGCTCTGATGGAGCAGTAGGAAGAAACAGATGTGCTCTATATAGAGAGGTTCCAGGAACACATATAATCTGAACATTAATCTAATAAAGGTATGTCCCCAACTATTAGAAAATCAAAGTATTAAAAAATAAGATGGAAAACAAGAAAGAAAACATGAGCTCATACAAAAAGTTGAAACAAAACACATAGCAACTATGCTGTAAGCTCAAACTGGCTCCTCATCTTTTGTTGAGAGCAAGCTCCTGAACATGGAAGAACCTGTATGCCCACAGACCAGAATGAAAGGAGACAGACAGGAAGTGCCTGCACTTTGCCCAATACTCCCTGCCCACAGGAAGCAGGTAACAACCATCACCACTTCTTTACAGTGGCAAGATAAGAGAAATAAGTTCCTCATCTTGACAATGGTCTCTCTGGCAAAGCAGCAGGTATTACTGCTCAAGATGGTTCTGGAATAAGGCTGCACTTTGGTGAGAATCTCACTGACATGGCATTTCCACAGGTATCTATTCTCAGTGGATTCAGTAGCATAATCCACACAGACTTGGATCCATGATTAGCTAGCATGCTTCAGTGAACCATTTCAGATATACTAAACTTGACAAACTACAAGCATATGTAAAGTGTAATACATGTTGATCTAAACCTGCTCAAGAGCCGTTTCCTGAAGACTACTTCCCAAATCATTCTGGGAATAGGTTTGAGTACCAAGTATTTGAGACTCCAAACAGAAACAAACCACTTCTCATTGTCTAAATGACATATGGAATGGCTTTTTGCTGAAAGCATACTAAAAAATAAAGGACAAATATACTAGAAATTGCATGGAATTCAGCATAACAGAGATTTGATGGAGGAAGGCAGAAATGCTATAAACAGGAAGCAATGTAATAAGGAAGGTATACCATTCAAAATCCCAGTCCAAGAAAAAGTAAATAGGCCCAGCTGGACGAAGAAAGACAGAAATGGTAACAAGAAACTTCATATACAAGCAGTAGAAACCTAAGCTGATCAGCTGCTACACAGCAAATCCATGACAATCCCACACAAAGAGTAACCTGATCAAAAGTTAAGGCCACCAAGATATGTTTTGCTACGGCCTGACAACAAAATGACACGTCAGACGGATCAACGTAAATAGCGTCAGACTAATTCAGGTGAGAAATAAGACAGACAAGATAAGACTCTTGGCGCCCCTTCAAGCCACCATGATTCACTCTCACATGCTGAGAAATGGAATTACACAACTTTCTTATGGAGTTACATACTTGGATTTCTTTAAAGGTTTAATTATGATGTTGACACGAGATTTAATTTCTTTAAATAAGAACTGACAATGATACTTCAGCCTCTTTCTGTGCTGCCAGGTAATTTCAAACTTCAGGATAGAACCTCAAAATCCAACAGAGTTCTCGTGGAGGTTCTACATACATCCCTGCTTTGTAGACTGGAAAAGTGGGGCATAGAACAAGTAAGCAATTTGCCAGCAAACCATTTCTGCCATGCAGAACATCAGCCATCTTCTGAACCAAGCTGCTAAATCATTTCACAGAGCAGCTCTCAAGATAACATTAGAGGAAGGGATGAAAAGGAAATACAAATCTTCATTCCTCTTTGCATGAGCCCTCAAGTACCTCCTAAAGTACCACTCAGCGCATCTAGCTTGCTTTGACCTTTGCCCCTCCTACCCTAGCAAATTATTATTTTTGTTTGCATAGGTTTTGCTTCTGAAGCCTAATGTTTGACTTGCAAGTTTGCCCTGTGAATCAGCCTTAAAATCGAGATAGCCTGTTTAACCATTCCACGTGTTACCATAACTATTGTAACTAACTGATCTGCCTTTCCCACAGGTGAACCGTGGACTGGACATGGCCAGTTGCTCCTTACTATTACTCTTACTTAACTTCCTTCAGAATGTGTGAACAACACTGTCCTAGAGACAGTCTACTATATATAGTTGTGAAATGTCCATGTCTGCCTAAAAAGCTTGTACTTTTTTTGTTTTCAGTTCAAAATCATTTATCAGCCCGCAGGTTGGTGCTAACTGAATAACATCTGCAAACCTAAGTAAAAAAAAAACTTAGCTCAATAATTCCCCAAACCATTACAATATCACTAGAATAATTTAAAAAACAAAACCCATACTTCTCATTTTTTTTTATTGTGATACTTTAAAAAAAACCAACAAAACATAGCATGCAAGTTTAAAGCTAGCCCTGTCCCATAAAATACACTAGGAAAACAGTAATCTTTTTAATCACTTTGCAACTTCAAGCTAGAATTTTGATGCTTCTCCACCCACATATAAAAATATCACCATATACAATCTTCCTCATGTACATTTTTTTCATCTCTGAAACAGAATTTCTTAATACCAACTAATATTCTATATCCCTCATTCTTTTTTCAGCTAAACACATGAAATTAATTAGTATCCAAGATCTTGTTTTCTCCCCTACTGCTATAAAATGTAAGGTGGATGTTTCAAAATGAGTAAGAAAAGGCAGCAACGCTGCGCATTTTATTGGCTTATTTATCAGAGAAGCAATTAATTACCTCTTCCAGCACTTAAGACTCCACACTGCAGCTTACCTGCTGCTGCTGGTTGCGCAGGTCTGTTATCTCTTTTTGATCCTCATCGTGAAGTCTCTTCATTTCCTCACATGACTGCTGGAGGTGATTATGCTCTCGCACCAACTGTGTGTTTTTCCTTTTCAAGGTATCCATGTCTTCCTTCAGCTGTGACTGGTCACTCAGCAGCCGACTGTGCAACGTGCTGTCATGGCATACAAAAAATGCTCTTAGAAGTCAACTTGTCAGGACGAAGTCCTGGACTAATGCATTTCAAGTAAGAGTTTCCTACCAAAAAAGGAAGCCAAACTAATTCAGTTCTGCATATTTGAATCTTCCAAGCATAAGAAAAATAAAATAAAAATCACAAACATAAATGGGCATAAACACAAAAATACATAAAAGTTCACAGTATTCTTAAATCAGAAGAGATTATGGATTTAGGCCACCCATCAATGCAATTTCATAGTCATTTTAAAAGGAAGCAGATAACCAGAAATGTGTAATGCAAGTATAAAATGATCCTGGAGATAACAGGAATTATTCCATTAAACACCTCCACTTTCTCTTGGACGCCTCAGCTGAGTAGCAACTAACAAAAAAAAAACCAACAAAAGTACAAAAATATCCCTGTATGCTATTGGTTTAAATACACCCCAAAAAACCCAAACAAACCCACAACTAAAAAGAACACATTATGTATATTTAGACCACATTCAAGGAGGTACAAAGCTATCAAAGTTACTCCAAACTCCATTATGCAAGCCATTGAAAAGTACTGAAAGAAATACACTCTCAATTAAAAACTAATCAATTGAGAGCCACAGGATGAGGCTGTCATTCAGATGACAAGGTAGCACACCAAAATTAGGTAAGACCAGTACTGAAAAAGAGCAAAAAATCAATTTAATGTATTTCACTATCACAGACTAAATAAAGAGTGATGTTTGGATACTGACAAGTATTTTTCTTGTTGAATCAGAATGATTCAAACTGAACTATCACACCTGCTGGTAAAGTGCTTAAAGTTCATATTATTTAAAATAACCCACACACAACACAAAGTAGTATACAAATTCAATTTAAATGTTAATATACTTTGCATTTTTTCTTTATGAAATTAAACACCAGTATTTCCTGCACAGAATGACCCAAAGCATTTTTAAAAAAAAAATACTCCTTAAAATCAGGACAATCTTCAAAAAATAAAAAATATAAAAATTATATTGCACAACTGAGTGCACAGTCTTTACATGTAGGTTATTAATCTGTTAGTCAGATTTTGTTGGAAATAAAATTCTTTGGTATGGCAACTTTTTTCTTAAAGTATGGGGTTCCAAGAATTACTGCAGGAGAAAATATAACTTGAACAGCGTATTCTGCTCAGTTTCTTTCTTTATCCTGAAAATTACTCATAGGATGAACAGGAATTGCATGCATGGATTTTAACATGTGTTGTCATGTTCTGGGCACCTACAATCCAACAGTGAAGTTTCAGACTCTCTACATTTTTAAATAGGAAACTGAATTATTCAAATCCAAGTAATTAAATTCTTTAAAACTAATAAAAATGATTACCTTTTAATCCATTAAAACATACCATGCTTTCTTCTGACCACATAATCTTAGTCTGTAGCAAGGATAAATTGTATACATATATCATTTTGTAGAAGCCTAAATTGCTGCTTCTGAGGAATATGGCTATATTCTTAGTATACTCAAATATTTCAATAACTCTTTCTTTTAATACTCAACAGTTTTTCTCCTATATGATAGACTAAATCCTTTTAACCTATCATGAGAATACAGAAATAAACAGAGTGTAACACAGTATGGTTTCATGGACTACAGAACTCCTAAATAATGTAAGCAAAACACTCACTGTTTAGGATAAAGAGTACAAATGTTTTATGTCAGCATTGGATTGACAGAAGTAATTCAGCACAGAAAAAAAAAAGTCATCTACAATGTACAGAAGACTCATGTTTTGCACAGAATTCACTAGCAAATGAAAGTACTTGAAAATCCTCAAATGAAACTAGGAATAAAATAAGCCACACTGCTTGCCAGATCTGTGCCTGTTAACAACCTTTAATACTATTTTCAGGTTTTGGGAGAAGAATGTAAGGAAACGATGCCTATCTTTGTGGGTGAAAGTGCCAGTTAAGAACTAGCAGCTCCCAATGAAAACAAATGCTGTCATTAAATACTTGACATATTTCATAGTGTAGATTTAAATGAAAAACTTAGAGCCAAGAATTTATCTTCATTTCTATTTCTGAGCTGACTTTCTTTCAAGTGAAGAAAACATGTTCTAACTTGCATCAATGACTGTTCCTTAACAGAAATACATGCTAGAAATATTTTTCCATATTTTACTGCATTTTCATAAACATTCACAATGGGTTTAGGCCTGTGTTAAAATTTACAAAAGTCAGAGTGAGAGTTATCACAACCTATTAAAAAAAAACAGTAACAAATTACATCCTCTCAAATTATATCCTGCTCTCTTGCCAGACAGTAAGAATACTGGATTGGACTGCAAGACAGTAAGTAGGTTCTCTTTGTCAGTGTCCCATCAAGACATCAGAAATTTCTATCTCAGCTTCTTCTAAATAAAACAAGTAATCCATACTTGATAATTTAAAATAGGCCAGAAATTAATCTTGTGATTAAAGTGGAACAACAGAATTAAAAAAAAACCACTTATTACCAGGTTCTAATAATTTATGATGCAGCATACAAAGTCTTACCTCATATAGCTTTACTAATACTTACTGATAAAAGTCTGCCTCTTTTGCTGCTTCTTCACACCTTTTTAGTGTTTTGGTGTGTTGATTCTGCAAAGACTGTAGATCTGACATGGCCTTCATGCACTGTATCTTCAGTCTTTCATAATCATGATTTGGCTTTGGACTAGGCCTAATACAGAAAAAGGATACAAAGTCAGACATCAGCTACTAAAGAGAATGTAAATTCTGGGAAATTACTATCCGATATATAAATAGTAACACCCAACTGTTGATATTTAGGTAATATTATGCTTTAATTTTAATACTTAACACTTCATATTAAGATGCAACCACAAATAAAAATTCACTGACTTGAACCTGTCTAACACGAACACAGCCAAAACCAGTCCTGAGCACACACAGACCTCTCCTCTGAGCAGCTCTATTATCACAGAACAGAACTGTTACTCGATACAAGAACAAGTCAGTCACAGTACACCCAACTTCCCTGTGCTACCATGTCAAAACTCTCAAAGAAAAAGCACAGAGTTGCATTGATAGCAGGGGTGAAAAGAAGATGCCAAAGTCAAGTGGGAGATGCATGGAAACCTGGGCTAGGAAAAACTCATCTAAGCAGTGGCTGGAGGACCTTGTCTACAGCTCCCCAGGAAAATCAGAGTTAAGAGTTGAATGAAATAACTTCAGTGGGACACCAAACATATGCATCTGTGCCAGCAGAATTTGACTAGTTTGACTAGCAGAGTACTGAAATTAGCTGATTTCACCATATCACTCTGCTGAATTACATATCCCATTGAGTGTTATCATGTTCTTTTAAACTACTATAAATTAATGAGAAAACAAGTCAAAATGTATCTCACATTTCTATAAAATAACCTGAATTTTGTTCAAATAATTAGGAATCTTCAGTACAATATAACCTCCCATACACCACTTTAAGTAAGCTAAACAATGTGAAAGGCAAAGTCAGCCACAAGAAAATATCTGACTGAATTTTTTTTTTTTTACTATATCTGCATGGTTGGGAGAGAAGAAATTTTCTAAAATAATCTACCTTATCAAGCAATTGACCAACACAGATTATGTCTAGAATGTGTGGTCGTTGCATATGATACCTTTTTATTTTTTAGAAAAATCATAAACCATGCTGGAAACTAAATTAGCAGGATTATGCTTTCTTGTTTCGAAGCACTAAGCTTCTAAAAGAGACTCTAAATTGAATGGTTCCTCTCCTACAGTCACAAAACTTTTGCACCATTGAATTTTCCAGCTTCAAAATTAAGCTTCTGACAGCTGTCCCTGTGTAACCTCTTGGGTTTCTTATAACTCCACAGGCAATGAAAACAAAACAAAAACAAAAAAGAAAACAATTGTTTTCTAATTTAACTCTGTTTATTCTCATATTGGATTTGTTCTGTTGCTGCACAGATCACCCTTTCTCCCTCACAGATCTCTCTCTCCCAAATGGCTTTACTGTCAATTCAGCCTGAAAAATAATCAGAATTCTCTTTGCTTCAAACAGAAACAGTAACATGGATTCTGGAACTGAAATGCAGCTGACATTAATCAAAATGAAAATGGTTTTGCACTGCTGCAGCAGTGAGAGCTGTTAAAACAAAAATGCCAGCCACATCTGATTCAGAGACTTTTAGGGAGTGCGTGTATGATACAAAAGTGTTTTTTAGCAACCCAGTCATATTTGGATTGCTGTGTAGTAAGGCCTTAATTTGTAATACCTCTTTTTCTCTTTTTTTTTTTTTTTTTTTTTTCAGAAAAATGCTCCTGAGAAAAAAAATACCAAAAGGTCCCTTCCTTGATTGAAAAACATTAGCAACAATTAAATGTCAAATTCAAGTAAAGCAACCACATAATCAAGTCATAGCTACAGGGATGTCTTCATGCCTTTTTTTCAAATTTGCTGTTTAGGGGTGCTGAAAGAAGTAGTAGTGTATTCATACAGTGTTACAGACGTATTAACAAAATTATGGCAGTGTTATGCTTTTAAAATATAACCTACTTACCATAAGTAAAATTCAATTTGAAATGTTCACATGCTTGACAGAACCACTAAAAACCCAAGTATTGATTTAAATTATACTTTAGGGTGAACTTCTTGAAAGCTGGCCCCATATGTCCACCACAGTCATTAAAATGACAAGAATAATTGAAGCACAGTTTAGCTCTCAGTTGAAGTGTTCAGCTTACTGAAAGCCATTAGCACAGTAAGCTCGCAATCATAAATTCATATTCACGCAATATATTTCGGTGTATGAATTTTTACTAAAGTTTCAAAGCTATGGTCAGAACTTGTTCTACAAGTTTAACACCAATATTGTCTATTTCATACATTGCTGAAGTAACACTAGCTTTGTTTTAAAGAAAACCCACACATTTAAAATCCTATAAACATTTGGGTACCGTTTAGATGACTACAGAAGTTAGCCTACTCACACAATGAGGAAGGAACAACAACACTATCAGTAACATCCTGCATTCCAGCTCATCTACATTAAATTAAAAAAATTTGGAAGACCAAGGCCATAAATTCCACAATGCTTCTCCAAGGCTTTATGTTTCAGCAATAAAAACAGGGATATGCACAGGAGAAGCATTGGTCAGAAGTTCAAAAAAAACCAAACAAAACCCAAAAAAAAGCAGTCCATTCAAATACAAGTAGTATTTGACTCTTGTTTAAGTAAGACCACCACAGTTTTATGCTAAAATGCCTGACAAAAGACAAAGCTATGACTTCAGTAAAGAGGAGGTGCTATTCTGGAAACATTGGTTCAAAGGATAACAGAATTTAAAATGCTATTATCAAAGGTCCAACTGTTTTTCTAATACTCATAAAACAACGCTAAAACCCCTCTGTGGTCCAGTGGAGTTATCCTGAGCATAAATCAAGGACACAGTGAGACTTACTTTTAAACGTATCTGATGATGAAATAAAAGCTAGTGCAAATGAAAGATCCAACTTTGTGGGCAATGCCTACGCAACAACTTGTACTACTGCAATTCCATGATGAGCAAAACCAATTACAGATAAAACAGTCTCTCCTCAAAGGCAGTCTTCATTTGTATTGCAGGTATCTTTTTTACTACATAAGCAGTATGAATAGCAAATTTAAGTCTATAAAGTGGACCCTGAGCACATCAAATTACTTGTCAAATCTTTGCTTAACCACCACAACATGTGCAAACATACAGTCACTGTCAAGTGACACCAGCACAGCATGAGTATTCCTACTTCTGTCCAGCACAGATGACACATGTTCACCTGAGTCAGAACATCACAACCCACTTCTGTGACTACTCTTCCACTGCTCTAGGCTTAATCAACACTTGCTTTAGAAACCAGCTCTGTTTTGCAACTGCCAGACTTCACAGCCAGCGCAGCCCAGCTTAAAAATGTGTTGTGAACTGCAACTGTTTTGAAGCACATGGCACATTAAGATTTGCCTCTATACCACCTCTGCTTGATGCAGTCATGGTTAAAGCAGCATACACAGCCAACAAACCAAAAGCCCTTTTCAGGTTGTAAAAGTCACCATCTAAATAATGATACTTCAGCTTTCATACTTCAGAGTAACATTTTACAAATTAAAAATTTACAAGTCTAGGCTTGGACTCAAGGAAGGGCAAAGATTAGTTTTGTATTACAAAAGAATACAAAACAAACAAAAAAAATACCATCAAGCTTTCAAAAGCCATAGATGTGTATGTGGATAGGAGAGGTAGTTGCTTCTACACTTAAGGAAAATATGTCAACTAAGACTCTTCAGTAGCTTCCCACTCTTCAGGATTTGCCTGGAAGGTAGCATCCTCCATCTAACACACTGCCCAAGTACTGCTCAAATACAATGTTTATTTTGATGAGTTTTTCTGTAAGCTGTAAACATTTATATTTTCCACAGCATAGAAATCTCACACTGGCAGCAGAAGATTAAATTGACAAATAAAGATATAAAAGTAGGGCAGTTGAGAGGACAGTTCATCAAAACCTTATTAATAGCATCCTGGATTACAGAGAACATTATTATAAGTTATAAAATCCTCAATGCCTAAGCTCTAGTGACCTCAAAGGCATCCCTCTGTATAAATAAGTAACTGGAAGATATACAAAAAATGGCAACATTTGACAACCTTTCCTTCTCCCATCCCTATAATGCTTGGAGATCCTCAGATTGAACACTGTTGAAGTAGCCCTAAGAACTCACAGGTAGAGGATGCAAGCATTCAGAAGGGTAGCCAAGGAGTGAATAAAACAGACAGATTCTCTCAACTCCAGTTCATTGGTTCAAATCTTGACCTTATTTCATACAGACATAAAGTTCAATTAATGACCTCACCACATACAAAGGACAGAAGCTATTTCCTTACTGTATAGTAGTATATACTATAAACAGTATAATATAATTTCAGAGCTATTTCCCTTTCTTCTCTCTTGCTTTCAAAAGAGCAGTCTTCCTTCTCCTCCCCTAATATAACCCAGGAAGCCTAAACAATTTGTTTGCTTTTTTCTCCCTATTCCCCTCATTCCACAGCAAAATTGGCAGAGGAAGTGGCACTAGGCATTCAATGGGCAGCTCAGAAACCTGGATGTGGTCTCTTACACAAACACACATCAAGAGGATGCAGGCACATTACAGAAATGTGTACATTACAATATCCTTGCTGTTCTACAAACAAGCAGGAGTCAAGACAATTGAAAACACTGAGAAATAAATTAAAATGTTACATTTCCCTATTTTTTACCTGCAGTCATCAAAAGTTGATCCAGGAGATGAAAGTGCAAGTCGCTTGCGCAGCTCATCCCTCTCTCGGGTTACCTGACGGAGCTGATAAAGTATTGTCTCCAGCTTCTCACTCATCTGTCTCGTGTCTATTACAGGTGGTGGAGATGATGGTTTACCAGTCGTACCTGATCAAGAGATAAATAATTGGCAGTCAGAGAACTCCTAAGAACAACAATACAACTTCACTATAATTTAGAAGATCCTATATTTTCCTTGCAGAATCCTGGTCAATAATGAAACAAGTCATGGAAGTTTTCAGCAAAGAAACTACTACGGCGCAGGAGCTCTTTCCTCTCCTTTATCTAGCAGCATAGACATACTATTCTGCTATATGCTACCAACATTTATTTTTAATGCAATTCTATGCTTTCACGTGTCACAACTTATCAGTCTAGTATGTGGAGTTAAAGATATGACATGCTAACAAACCATAAGAAACAGGCTTAATTTTAAACAACATTGGCTAAAATGAGCTCATTGCTGTCATTGCAACTGGACTAGATATCAAATTTCCTCTAAGGGGCAGTCATACATTCAAGAGTTCTGTGGGAGCTTTTAATTCTCTGCTTAGTTAACATCAGAGATGAACGATGATGCTAATGTCTTTTCAGACAGCTCTAACAACACAGAGACTTTTCTTCCACCTGAAAGACGAGAGTCTGGTATGTAATGTTTCACAACATCATGACAATTAATTCAACTGTAATTTATTTTTGCTCATTTTAGTCCCAGACATATGAGAGCAAACTCAAAGATATATGACATATATATGTAAGTCAAAGGCCTAAATGTATGCAGATTACTATTTTTCTACCCAAAAGAGAAATTATAGAAATAGTCTGCATAATTATACAATTGAAACAAGTTGCTGATATATGTATTAACTTGTAAGGATGTACGTTATTATGCCTTTTTTTTTTTTTTTTTTTAAATGAAGAAACAAACGATACATGAGCTCTCCGATCCCTGCCTTTTCACAGAATTCTTTCATCTGATCAAATGCTAATGATGCAAGGATTGGCTTTTTATCTTACCCAGTTCAGGAAGGTATTAAAAAATGCAAAAACTCCCTCCAGCTTTTTAGCAGAAGTACTTGTGCCATATAGCTCCCACAGCAAACTAACTGCAGGGTCAGTGCTATCATACATACAGCACCTAAAATAATAAGATGCCTGTTCTTATTCCTTTCAGCTGTTACTGTAATTTGATAATAAGAATTGATGAGCACAGACTTCTTTTAATCTAGCCATTGCACAATAATGTATGTAAATGCTTTAAAAGCAAACTGAAGAAATTTTTTTAAATGGCAACAACAGCCTGCATTCTGTAAAAAGTTGGTTCAAATTCTGTACAAAGTTGCGTCACTCAAAATAATTCTGTGGAGGCTGCATTTGGGCTTTCTCCTACTACTTTGTTTCACTCCTCCATTCACATGGACCTCCTTCATCCATAAGGATTAAGAATCTCACAATTTTAAAAGGCAGTGATCCTTTTCTTTTGTAAAATAAGAACCATTCTACATAATTTCTAAGGTGAAATTAAATGGAAACCACTAATAACACAAATGTGATATTCTAGGCTCATGATACACAGAATAGATAGAGATTTTAAAAAGTCATCATGTGTACCTATTTGGAATAGTTTGGACACATCAATGAGCAGGGAATTTCATAAAACAAGCAAAAAGGTAAAGGCAGACAAACCTAATTCAGGTACTGACAGGCTGCATATTCTTCAGTAAATTCAGTGGCAACCTACATGTCCTCTCGCTTGAGCTGATACATCAGACTATGTGTAACACTGAAAAAGGCCCCTTCTCATCCTTATGGAAAAATCCAAAAGCTGATCTGTCATCCTGGGGCTGCTTGCGAGTAAAACAGATGAACAGGGCGCAAGGGGCACAAGAGGATGGAGGAGATAATTCAGGAAGGCTGGTGTACTTTACAAGGAGGAAAGGGTATCAGATTAACAGGCCCATCACTATAGCAGTGTTAACCCCAGAAGCAGCCCCATGGACAGTAACTGCTACACGAGTCCTACACAAACACAATGGCTGCTCTGGGAACCTAAAACATAGTAAAAGAAAGCAAGAGTTATACCTCTGCTCCTCCAACTCTTTTCCCATCCAGTTTTTACAGCATCCCCATGACAATCTTCTTCAGGCAAGAAGAACATTTGTGAGCACAGTCCCAAAACAGTGCCAAGCAAGACTGCTGTATATAAATACAGGCTAATTAGCCCTAGGAAAGAAGCTTTCTCAACTAATGTGTAGCCGTTCTTCTTAGTACCAGAAAATGTTCTTTTTCTTTTTGACACTTTTTACATGCTCCTCAACAAATAATTTAATCTCAAATGTTGGAGATAGCGATGCCAAGGCATAATACCAGGAAAGAGACATATGCTCAAGTGTTAAGTCTGATCTGCAGATACTCAAAAGAACACCCCCAAGAAAGCAAAACAAAACCCAACCTAACAAAAAAACTTCAGTAAACTCCTCTTTCATGAGAAAACTTCAATATTTGTCCTTTCCTTTAAAGGGGCTTTTATGGCTGAATGCTAAAAGTCTTTTATTACATCTGACATCCCAATGCAGAAGAAAAGTGACCTGTGCTTCCAAGCTTTGTACTCTTTTTCCATTTGACTACATATTTTATGCAACAGTACTTCCTTTCTGCACTTTAACCAGTCAAACTGGTCTTAAAATGTGCAAGCCAAAAGACTTAATCTCGATTATCCAAATTATGCCACCTTTCAGTAACTCACCTGCTTTCTCAAACAACCTACATCTGTGAAAATGCATTTACTGCATATCCTGCCAAGAGCAACTCATTTATCTGCTGCAGTAAGCCTCACAGCTCACTCTTCATGTGAGCTGCACTTAGGCTCTGAGAACCCAACCGCATGAAAGTCACTTCCCTGGCCAGCCTCCAGGTAAGCAGTGCTCCACCAACTCCTGAAACAGCAGGCAGCAGGGATGCATCGCGTGGGCAAAACTGAGTTTGCTCTGAATGCAGTAATGCATTAAAATCTGAGTACACAAGAAACTAATCTAAAGCAAGATTTTGTCAGATTTGCATCATACACTGTAGAAAAGAAAATAATTAAAAACAGAAGCTGGGGCAACCAGATTTTCTATAATTATAGGCCAAGTGCTGGCCTTTGTGGAAACCATGAGATTCATTATTGTAGTACACACCAAATACAATTTTTGATGATTATTCTAATCATCACTGATTTAAGACATACTACAGACACAAAGAAACCACTGTTCAGTTAGCTTTGTATTATTTGGGAGTGGGGTAGCACACTTTTTGAAGAAAAAAACATTGTAAGAGAAACAGGGCTAGAAACTTGTATAATTCACCAAGATGTACCATGATGCTGAATCAACAGAAGGTTGAGATGGGAATATAGGTACCAATGTATAAACAACTACTTTTAAGAAATATTATTAACATACTCTGAATTATAATAAACTCAGTGCTCTTTGAGGAATACACTTACATAGCAGACTCCCCTAATTCAAAAGGCAATCTGCTACAAAGTAACAGAATGCCTGACCTGCACAACTATTTTTTAAGCCCATCTTAAAAATCCTTGTCAATTCTTACTTGCAAACAATCAGAAGACTATTCATTGTACAGTCAAGCTTTTTTTAATGCTTTTTTTTTAAAAAAAAAAAATCAACAGTGATGTTTAGAATATTAGTTCTTTATGGCCTAGTAAATCATGACAGAAAACATGAAAGATTCCTTGCTAGATGTACTGCAACACGTGTTCAACAGGGTTTCTTCCTAGACTCAGGAAGGCACAGGGACTAAACTTTTGCCTGCTGTAGGAAATTGCATGCTAAAATATTTACTTTCTTTCAATTATTTATGAGGACTAGAACAAGACTGCACACTAGAAGTTACCATTTAGATACATCTCTTCAGATAGATCTTTTGAAGTCGTCTTGAAATAGTAGTGAGAACAGAATTGCATGTGAGTGAAACGGGTAAAAATAAGCAGCACGACGTTGAGGAAAAAGAACTGAAAGTTAAAATAATAAACTGTGGAAACAGTTTCATCAAACAGACAGAAAACCTAATAGGTTATGAGCACTGAGGATCATGTAACACGCAAGGACAAAAGATTGGGTAGCACATCAGTATTTGTTTTCATGCAGAATATAACAAGCTAAAGAAACCCACTGGCACGTAAAACAAACTTTCAACTTCAGTAAATCTAAGACTTTAGAAAGAACTGAACAGTGGTTCTAGAAAGACCATACGAAAAAAAATCTGCAAGAGTAAAATCTGTTAATATGACTAAGGAAAACAATGCTGAAGCTTCTGGGTTTGAATATTAAGGAGCTCCCTGGTAGCAAAGCTCAGATCCTACATTTGTCAGGCCTACCACCTCATATTGAAAGCATAATCTAAAGATTGGTCTTTTCTCCCTAATAATAAGCAACAGGATGAGAGGAAATGGCCTCAAGTTGTGTCGGGGAGGTTTAGATTTAAGATTATAGTTTATATTTTATTATTATATATCTATATTAATATATTATAATGTATTTGTTATTATATTTAAATATTATCATTTTCAATAGGATAGTTCTCAATGCTTCTATAATTTTACACTAAAAATTCATAACAGATACCAGAGATGACCATGAGTCCATCTCCTGTAATGGCTTTGCTGAGCTTTGTGCCATAGCACAAAGGATCCACTTCATTCCCATGTATGTACCTGAGATATATCCTTTTCATATTCCTGCAGGTACGGAGGTCTGTAGACAAGGGAGATACATTTAAAAGTGAGAAAGCCTAGGATTTTACAGTGCTTGCAGGAATAGCCTGGTACAAAGCAAGACCTAGCAGAATGGTGAGCCAAAGAAACCCTTCCACACCAAGCTTGCTCTCCTCGCTTCAGGGTTATACCAGAACCACTTGAGTTACTGAGACACTCTGGGAGATTTGCCTACTATGAAGCAGAATCCATCCCTTGCACAGGTCCTCACTTAGCAGGTAAGACCCCATGAGAGGAGACAGGCATTGGATTTGTCCCACTATAAACACCTTCATGCTTGATTTTGAAGAAAAATGTAACAGATTCAAATATAATCAAGTTACACAATTAAACTCCAGCACTCATGGCTTTGAAGAAATTAATATCCCATGGGACTAGGCTGTCACATTGACCAGGCCAAGGCTGACTTCTGCAAATATGAGATTCTTCTTCCCTTTATCAGTAACTGCATTTGAGGAACCTGGAATTAGGCTTCACAAAACTATGAACATGAGGAAGGAGGTCTCCTTTTTGAGGTCTGATTGCTACTCTCCCTTTTTTTAAGAGGACCATCACGTTGTGCCCTTTCTCCCAGGAAGCATGGCTCTTCAAGCTGTAAGTGAAGATACTGACACCAGATGCTGACTTCCCTGGTCCCAGACAGAGCAGACAAGACAGAAGTGTCCTTTCCCATCCCAGGGGGTGCTACACATGAACAGCAAGGCCAACAGGGAGGTACAAGTAAGCATGATATGAACAGGAGAGACAACAAGCACCTCTTTCATAGAGCCATGAGCACTAAGTCATTTAACAACTTATCTCACATTTCCAAAGTAAAGAAATGAGTGTTTAGGGAGCAAATCCAATCCTACTATTAATTGCAATGGGTGTGAGTGGAGTGACCACTTACAGAAACTTAAAGTGATTACTTGCAAGAAAAAAGCAGAGCCTAATGATAATTGCTAGGATGAGTGATGAACAGATAATTTATGGACAAGCAGTGCACTGTCTGCACTCAACTAATCCCTAAAGATACCATTCACCAGCACAGACAATACAAATTTCTGTACTTACTTGCAGGCATAGTCTTGTAGATCAGGAACGTAATTGCACACCCCGCCGTGCAGGCAGTATGACTCATACGAAGGAGGGCATCCTACAGAACCACCTTGCACAGGGTGTGTAGAGTGTTCATTGCTGACAGCAGTGGGGGGGACAGTAGATTCTGAAACAGAATTTCACACAGACATGTCAAACTTTTGGTCACATTGGCAATGTGATCTTACAAGAGTTCCAGAACTTCTAGGTAGGAGAGTAGGTTAAACATTCTAATTTTGATGAATTACTCTTGTTTTACCTATTTGATTACAGTTCTTATCAAATTTAGGCACACAGAACTTTAGAACAAAATACTAAATTGCTTGATTCTAGACTTGCAATGAAAGACCCACAGAGGTTGGATGTATTTTGTCTATTTAGATGTGTGGATACATCTTTGAAGAAAAACTACACTAACTCATTTTCCTTAAATGATTTTTGCAAGTGTCCTGGTTTGAGCCAGGATAAAGCCAATTTTTCTTTTTGCTGATTTTTTTTTTCCTTCAGTAAGTTTTCTTGTAACTAGCAACAGTGTGTTCTGCTAGGCTGATAAGACAGTGGAATGTTTTTCTAACTACTGAGGCTTCAAGGCCGCACCTGCACTCTGCCGGCTCAGAC